TCTATTGTGTGAATTGAATAAACGTACAATTTAATCCGGCTAACCTTCCTTAGAGAACGACCCGAGTCGGGTAACTCGGTTACTACTTGCCCAAAAATATTGCAAACAAAACCCAAGAAGCATCGCTGGAAAGACACACCGATCTCTCCGATTGACGGCGATCTATAAAAAATATCGATCGAACCTTGTACCGTCCTTGAGAAGAATGAAGATCTCCCTTGTGTGAACATAAAACCTCTAAAGCGTACCGATGAAGAGTTAGCCCAATCTGTCCCATCATCAAATGTTGAGAATTTGCATGGATACACGCATCGCCACCATGTGCCCCTAGTTGACATGGTGCATTTAGTGTACTCTTACATTTTTCTTGTATAAACACGATAACTCATGCCCCTCACAAGGACACAATCATAATAAAATGAAAAGCATCACACACAGAATATATACTTTCAATATACTTTTTCGGAGATTTCTATTGTCCTTGTCGATCTTATCTACAAATCGACAAAGTCAGTATCCTTTATTTGCTCCATTTCAGTTTTTCCTTATCATCATACTACCACATTATCAGTCCGTTACAAAAAATATTAATCCTGTAGTTACCCTCTAATTAAACAGTCCTTTTAAAACATAACTAATAACCATTGGTCGTCACCAATTAACATTTCACCATCACGAATAATCTTTACACCACTGGATTCGTGAATTTAGAAAGAGAAACATACGACTACTATATTTGAAAATTTGTTTCTTCAACATCAATTCCACATTTCACTACAATTGTTATCTACTTTTATCGATCGACATTGAGCAAACAACACAAATAGAAATTGTTGTTGAAATTATAATAGCATTTTCGAATTAGATTATGCCAAACATACCTTTTTAATAAAAACTTACCACATAAACTTTAAACTGCAAGAACCACATCTTATATAATCGATTTTGCTATGGAGCCCTGGGATGACTCGACTTATGGAATCATCCTTAGTTATCCACTAATGGTGTATTGACACGTGTTCTGCAATAAATACACATTGAACACATGTCAATACATAAAGTTATGGATGACTCCATAGAATTTCTGCATATATAATATGAATTCCAAGTTAATTGATAATTAATTGGGTTCCATGCATCCTTAACCTTGTAATTGTCTAATTAATTGGGTTCCAACTTTAAACTGCACAACAGTCTCGGCTTGCATGATATCATTAACCACGTTGTTCTTATTCATATGATAGAATCAAATTTTCTGCTCATTTAAATAAAAAAGACCATAATATTCAAACTCAATTATATGTGTGAGTCAAATTTTCTACCCATTAAAGTCAAAAGAACATGTTATAGCTTCGAATATTTTGAAGAAAAATGTTTGTTCTTCCCTGATTTTTTCAAACTACGTTTCTTGAATTAGTTCCATCGATGGTAGTTACAATAAAGAATGTCGAGTTCTCCTCGACTGTTAATCTTTTGAATTTGTAGCTTTATACGTCACCATTTTCTCTCACCATATCAAAAAATATATTATTCCATTTCCATTTTCACGACAAATCATCAATAAGCTAGTATATTTGATTTTAGTTTTAGTGAAGTGCTGTAAATTGATCAATAGTTATATTGGTAGATTTCTTGACCTAAATGTTTTATGCAGAAACCCGGCTGTAAATCTATTTTTTGCTTAAGTATTCAACATGAAAGTTGTGGATATATTTGTTAGCTACTCATTGATTTAGGAATCACCTGAATAGCATGCTTATAACTCATGTTATCTTGGAAATGCTTAGACCATGCGAGTTGTGCATTTTCATTTCTAAACTGCAACTATGTTTTGTGTCGTTGTTGAACTATGTGGTTAAGTGACATCGCATGAGTGTAGTTAGGTGTTTGTGTGTTAAATAGTCTTTCATAAGACTATATATTTTGTGTAATGTAGGTGTAATGAGCTGTGTTCTCGGCACACCTTTTTCCCCGATTTTCGGTGATTTCTTTCTCCGGTTACCAGGTGGGTTGTAATTGTAAAATTTGCTATGCCTTAATTAATTATTTTTGCTGTTGTATGATCAAATTATGCATGTGAACCATGTAGCCTTCGATGTGAGCTATATTGGCTGTTATCCCCGTAGCTATAGAACGTACCTTCGGGTAGTCTCTTTTATTATTGTTGGCAGTCAGGGCGTGAGCCTTGTCTGGTGATCCTTGTATGTAAGGTCAAGGCGTGAGTTTTGGCATTCGGGGTGGATTATTGCTCCTGCTGGCCGGGCACTCGTTGTAAGGCCTTCGAGGAAGGCGTTCGGTATATAGCGCGGCAGTAGTCTATTGTTATAGGTGTGCACGTGAGACCATTATTAGAAAAACAATAATCAATAGAAATGCAATAATATCTAAGTTCAGTTCAAAGCGGAAGCATTTATTCAAATTAAAGACCACCACTCGCATCCCTTCCGCCGTGCCGCATAAACTAACCTGCATTCGTGAATAGCAGGTGGGAATGAGCACAATAAGAAAATCGAGGTGCTCACCGCTATGAAATAATTAATATCAATTTAGTTGATTGTTTTATGATTAGATTTAACAATATTATATTACAATATACTTTGTCCACCTTTTATTTTTATCTACTTTTTTTTTGTTACAATCTCCATTCATAGTTACATTATAATCTCCCACTAATTCATATCAATTTGTCTTCTCCTATGAATCTCGCAAGGAAAAAATATCAAACTATGAAGGTTAGAAATATCACTTATGAGTTGTCCCACATCGTAAAAATAGACCCACCTTATAAGTTTAATGGGCTACTCCTTCTTCCACTAATTGGTTTTGGGATGGAACCTCACTTGGGCTTCATATGAGTTTTTTTCGTTTATGGTGCGCTTCATGTTAGTGAGACCACACCCGTTTACCCCCGGTTTCTTACAATGAATATTGCAAGAAATATACAAGAAAACAGAAGTAATAAAAAAAGCCTTAGCGAATATTTATGTGTTTTCCTAATATTAATCAATTAAATAAACAATCCCTAGCAACTGCACAAAAAATTGTTCGCTAACCGTTTTTGCTACCCAAAAGTGTACGACGTAGCTATAACCTATAGGTAGTGACGAATAAAGTCGTATTCCACAAATATTGTACTTGAATTAATAAATATCAAAACAAAAATGATCAAATATTATCTAGGCTAATGCAAACTAAATAGACCAATTATGAACTAAGAATTAAACTAAGAACTAAATTATTTAAGAAATAAAAACTTGTGAATGATTAGACAAAAGAATGAATAATGGCATAGATTCTAGGTTATGCTTTACTCGAAATTAATTCCTAAAATATTTAAATCTAATTAAACCTTAATTAATCAACTAGTACAGATCCCGTG